GCGGCTGAGCCTCGCCTTCCTGCTCCTCTTCCTGGAGGCCTTCGTGCTGCTGCACATCCACACGCGTGCCAGAGGCCTTGCTGGAGATGCTGGTGAGTCGGTGCTCTGTAGAGGATCCTCCGGATGTGTGACCTGGGCCGTACCTGCACCAGCCTTGTCTGTCTGCCAGTGGGAGAGGCAGGGTCCCGTCTGCTTTTGGGGAATGGTGGGGCACTGATCCTCAGGGCATCCTCACGTCTGTTTTGGAGCTGCTTAAATCCTCTAATAGAAGAGAGATGCATGCAGCAGGGATGCACCATGGGAGGAGGAGGATTCCCTTGTGTCGGGGAAGGGGGCTGCACACCCATCCCTTCTCCCCAGGGTGCGAGCAGCCACTGAACCCCATGCTGCTGACAGCGTCCAGTGGCAGGGCGGGCAGCAGGGGCAATGCCTGGCTCCTCGCTGTGTCCTCTGGTGGGAGCCTGACTGGTTTCTGCCTGTCAGAAGACAAAGCATGGAATGGGAACCTGGAAGAAAAGCCAGTAGGCTTTCTTTGTGGGTCTGTCTTGTTCTTCGATGCTGATCGCTCTCTCTGTCTTTTAAAATCTCTTAGAGCCTTTTTCGGTGCCCTGGTACGCAGTCATCTCCTGGCTCCTTGCTGCTTCCCAGTTCTTCTATTCCACGGGCCACCAGCCCATCTTCCCGGCCATCCACTGGAATGCAGCCTTCGTGGGCTTCCACCTTGACCACAGCACAAACCTCCTGCCTGCTGTCCTGGTGGGCGCCAACACCTTTGCCTCCCATATCCTCTTTGCAGGTAAATCAATTTCTTCCTGGGCTGTTGAGCCTGAGCAGACGTGGCTCCCTGCTTTGCCTTGGCTAAGCATGAGGCGATGAAGGCTCCGGCACCAGCTGAACAGCAGCGCCCTCGCTGTCCCCTTCTGGGGCCACAGAGCTGCCCGTGGCCCACAGCCGCCATGCAGTTGTGCCTGACCAGCAAACGGGAGCTGGGGTGTATGCATCCTGCACGTCCAGGGCATGATGGCAGAGCCTAGACTGCTCCTCACCTCCTGGGCTCCGGTAACTTCATGTGCCTTTGTCCTTGAGGTAGTCGGCTGCCCTCTGCTCCTGCTTTGGCCCTTTTTGTGTGAGATGCCCAGCTCGCAGAAGAAGAAGCCCAAGAAAGAGCCCCGGGAGGAGCGGCAGGAGGTGGAGGAGCACATGATGGAGATGAGGCTGCGGGAGTCCCCGGAGAAGTTCTCCGCTGCTCTGCTGCAGCTGGGGCTGAAGTACCTCTTTGTCCTTGGGACACAGGTATGGGCAGAGGCGGGATGGCTGTGGGGAAGGCTGCCCAGGAGGGAATTGGTGTGCTGTGAGAACAGTGGGGCGCTCTGATGAGAGAAGGGGGTCGGACAGGCCCGACGGTGTCATGTCTGGTTCAGGTTCAAGACCAGCTGCATGTCATCTCTGCCATTTGCTCTGTGTTTTGGGAAGGGCTCCAGCACAGAAGCTTTTCATACCCATCTGCCCAGAGCGGTGATGTCTGTCCAGAAACCACAGGGTTGTAATCCTGTTCCCCCTCTTCGTCACCCTGCCTGTCTATTGTGCACCAGCTCTGGTTTTCATCTGATCCTGTGCTGTGGTGACTTAGGGAGCTGAACATCAGAAGTCTAGTCCCGTGAGAGAAGTGGATAGCTTTCTGGGGTTTAGCCCTTCAAATCATTCTCCTGGACAGTCAGACCGGAGACAGTGCAAGGGAGGGGCAGGCCCTGCAGCAGGACAGCGGCAGTGCCCCTCTCAGCACAGTATTAGTTCAGGTTAGCCACAGTTGGAGCTTTCCTCTCAGCTACCCCAGCCTGGCCCCAGGAGGCCTGCGTACGCCCCAAGCTCTTTGTGTTTCCTGACTGGAGGACACGATGGAAGGGAATCCTCTTTGGGATGCTTGTTTCTGGTGTTTCTGTACCAGCCTCCCAGGTGTGTGCAGTTCAGTACTGCTTTAAGGTGTAAACCTAGTGCCCAGGAGGTCTCTCACTTGTAACTTTTTTTTCCTGATCTCCCTGACAGCTTCTGGCCTGTGTTTGTGCAGCTATGATCCTCAGGAGGCACCTCATGGTCTGGAAGGTCTTTGCCCCAAAGTAAGTCCCAGGAGTTGCTGTGGTGCTGGGTTAGTGCTCACATCCCTGACACCTTGTCTGGAGTTCACAGTCATGATGGAAAGGACCGTGTGATCTATCTTGTACGACTTCTTACCTGGCTGTAGGAATGTCCTTGACTAACTTCTGCTTCAAGTTCAGAAGCTGGACTCAAGCTAGAACATAGAAATTTCTCCTTGTCTTGATTTCCAAGGACACGCAGAGCCCGCCTGGAAGCTGAGAGTATTCAGGGCAGAGGACCAAAGCTAGGGTTACCAGACCAGAAATGGTAAACTAACAAACCTTCAGGCTAGTAGGAATGTGGGGTGGCCTTGGCCTCTGAGGTATTCAAAATCCCACCTGGGTGTTGTGCTGAACGCCCTCTAAACCAGAGGTGTGCTTGGCTTCCAGGTTGCAGGTAGCAACTGCTGGGGAGTGGTTGTAATTCTGGTTTTAGGATCTGGGGTGCTACCAGCCTGTCACTGTCAGAAAAACCCGTCCGCTGGGAGCGAGGGCAGCAGCTTGTCTTTGCGACATCTTACTGCATCTGTTGTTCCTGCAGGTTCCTCTTTGAGTCGCTGGGCTTCGTAGTGAGCAGCATCTGCCTCCTGCTGGGGATCTCCCTGGTGATGCGTGTGGACTGTGCTGTCAGCACCTGGTTCAGCCAGCTCCAGCTCAGGTAGCCCTGGAGATGTGGGGAATCCGACCTGCTCGTCGGCCAAGGCTGTGGTTGTCTCCCTGGCCTCCTGGTGCCGGGAGGGTTACATGAGCCACCAGCAACGAGGGCCTGCCAACAGCAGTCGGGGATTACCCCAGCTCCCTGCCGCAGCGCTGCACAGAAGGACCGGAGCCAACCATTCCCCGCTCCTTGTGATGGTGTTTCTCAGCAGCGGAGGTCAGAGCTCTCGCTGGGCATCTGTTGGCAGCAGGAGGAGCCCAAGAAGCAGGAGTCCTGAAGTGCTCCTCTGGAGAAACACCAGCCGGGGGTCTTGCTGCTACTTGGCTGAGAGCTGTCCCCACTGTGCAGCCCGTCAGCTTTGGTGGCCAGTGAGGTGTCACCTTGCCTGTGCAGACACAGCGACTCACGGGAAGGGCAGGGAGAGAGGAGAGGGAATGTCTGGCAGCCACCACTTCTCATCGCATGCTTGGTGTTTGGGCTGGAATCACAGGGCACATGGTTATGTGCACAGGTGGTTCCTGGGGTCTCGGTGGCAGCTGCTGCTCTGGAAGGTCAGTCATTTGCCCTGTAGTGAGGCCCCTCTTGCCCTACGCCCCCATTTTCCTGGTCTTCCTCAGCCCTGTGAAGGGCAGTGGGGAGCACTCCGGGCTGCCTCATACAGCCTGGAGCAGGCTTAGCTGGTTGGGGGGGGTGGGCACAGGGAGAACCGTGTCCGTGTCCAAGAAACTCTCTGCTCAGGGTCTTGGCCTGTCGGTGTCCCCTTGGGCTGTGCTGCAGCAGCCGAGACTCCCGATCTCTTCCTGAGCGTGTGCTGCCAGATGCCGGCTGTGGTTTGTGAGGGGTTGAGGTGCAGCAGGTTGAGGTGCACAGCAGGATGTGGTGACGGATAACGGATGTAGTGACAGACCCCATGTTGCCTCTGGCCATGAGGGAAGGAGAGTCTGGAATCGCAGTCCCAACAGCAGGAGTAGCCTTGGAGTGAGCTCTGGTGCCTGGGAATAGCTGCTGGAAAGCCTTGAGCAGGTGACAGCTCTGCTGGAAGGTGGCTTAACACACTGGTGTCTCTGTGCCGGGGGTTATGTCACCTTGAAGGGGTCCCTGGGCACTGCGGCCAATGGCATCTGTGATCCCACATTTGGTGCTTATCTCCCTCATGATCTTGGTGTTCTGCGTGGGACTTGGTGCCGCAAGCGAGCTACCCCAGACCCACCCTTGACCACTCGCAGTCAGAAGACACCGTATTTCTGAAAAGGGCAGAGTTAGAGGACAGTGACCATGCTTCCTGGCCGTATCCCTGCAGTTTGATGGGAGCTGGGATTCCTTACTGCCCTGAACCACTATGTGGCATTACTTGGTGCTATGAAACCTTTTGTCTCTTTCCCATCTGGAAAGAGCCAAGGACTGTTTGCTTGGGATCCCTGCTTTGACACTTGTTCTGGTCCCGTTTGTTTTTTAACTCTTGCACCGTGACTGCCCCTGTTTGCCCCTGTTTGAGTTACTCACTGCAAACTGCTAGTATAACTCCAGGCTCCTCCTTTCCTCTGTCCTTACCCCCGAGTCACGGGGAAAGTGTCTCGTCACCTCTCTCATCGTTTCACTTCTGGCCGTTAGGCCTGAGTCCCCAGTCGCTGTGGAAAATGGCTGTTGACAGCAGGCTTGGTTTTGTATTTTATCCCTGCAAAATGCTTGCTCAGGTGTTAGGGTGCAATTCCAAGGAGGTTTAAACTGCTGTCAGTTGGGATTTCCGTTGCCTGGCCTCCTGGCCTGCTGGCTGTGCTCTCCCGCCTCAGCCTTGCACCCCCCCTGCCCCATGGGCCTGTCCTGCTTCACCCGGCAGAACCAGGTGTGCAGCTGGCGTGACCCCCTGGGCCACCTCACCCAAGGGGTAGCAGCATGCAGCGGGGAGCTGGGGGCGGACAGGAACGCATCAGCCCACCTAGATGGGCTGAATCAGTTCCACCTTTAAAAATAGGTTATTTGCTGTAGGCTGTGACCCCTTGGCGGTCAGCTGGTTCTCGGTGCGGAGGGGGCCATGCTGGTGGGTGAGGGGTGGAGAGGAGGAAGGGGGTGGGGGCAGCAGCTACCCAGTGAATTTTCCTTTAGTGTGAGGTTGGTTTAGATGACACATGTTGCTAAACCCTAGGACCAGAGCCCAAACAGGTCTTGTAACCTCATAACCTGGTCAGGAGCTCGCTGCCTGAATGTTTTTGTGCTGGCAGAAAACCTTCTGGTCACTAATGCTGTAGAACTGGCACCTAACGTCCTCGCAGCTGCCACCCAGCCCCCTGGGCTTCCTTCTCTCCCATCTCTGGG